CCCCCCCCCCCCCCCCCCCCCCCCGCCCCCGCATGCTCGCTGCGAGGAGAGTTATCAACCTGTGGATGTTCTCTTGGACGATGGATTCGCCTTCCTTCCAACTAGAATAGCACGGCGTCTCGCAGGTTCTGGGCGGCGCTTCGGCGTTGGAATACTCGCTGGTGACCGTGTGTGTAATTCCATCAGATTTTGAAGGTGCCCCAAAAGCACAGGGCCCGACTGTGGAAAGGAGCAAGTGTGCCCCTTTTCTGTCGCCACCGGACATGCTGCGGTTCGGCTGTACAGCTGTTGTTGATTTCCTGGTTTCGTCCCCCTTCGTTGCATGCACACGCTGAAGTCGGGTTCACAGCATTCATTACATTTTTGAAAATCAGCACGGGCACCACTTTTACAGCGGCTTCAAAGCCGCAGTGGTGTGTGTTGTTTTTCGAGCGCTGCTAGCTACGTACGACTTGTCTCCCGTTGACGTGCTTTACAAACAGGGCATTTCGGACATGGACGAGAAAAGCAGGAGGCTGGTGGAGCTGAACGTGCAGGAATCGTGCATCAACCTGTTCGCAAACCCAAGTGAGGTTTGAGTGTGGGTGTTACTGTCGTTGCTGTTGTGCTGGTTGTCAATGATAGTGTTGCCGGCTTGGGTGTTCCTGGGTTCATGAATATTGTTTCTTCGATTTCCCATCTTCATATATATATTGTTCGCCGTTGTTCCAACCATCCACCGGTCTCTGATGGTGCGCTCGCATGCGCCCCTGCACTTGTGTGATAGTCGTGCAGAAGAAGCAGGCCACTAGCTCCATGCCCAAGATTCACGGCTGGGCATACGATGTGGGGAACGGTCTTTTGAACGAGCTTGACATTGACTTCAAGGTGCGCAAAGTGTGTTTTAGGGTCGATGAAGCCATGGCTATTTTTTACACAGCCCTTTCGTGCGCGCGCCACTGTTAGTACCCACGTCGGTACTCGTTCAGCCTGTCCTTAAGGCCCTTTTTATTTTGGACTCCCGAAGTGAACAACGCCTCTCTCGTTGTTTTTTCTTGCCGGGTGCAGCCGTGGGCGATTCATCATCAATCGCTTGTTTTTTTTCCTATTCCCTCTGCCGCTTTGCGAATAGTACGTCCTCTATGTCAAGGAGTAAACGTACGACCCAAAACATCCTTTGCCCCCTCGGTTTTGCTTTCGTGTTTCG